TTGACCACTGACAAAAAGTTAATAGCCAGAGCACTGAAAAGTTCAGCTGTTGTCGAGGTAAGAACAGTTGTTTATATCACATAAATCACCAATTACATAAAAACTCAGCCGCTCACTAGCTGTGTGTGCTTCGCAGCTGGACTTGGAAGGCACCCGGATCAGGAGGAAGCAGCCCCTGGGCGAGAAGCCCCCGGACGAGGACGAGCGGACCGTGTACGTGGTAAGCCTGTCCTGGAAGACAAGTGAAGACGGATCGCCCTGGAGTGAGAAGAGTGAGAGCATCATTAATAATGTAACTAATTCATTGCAGGAGCTACTTCCCAAAAATGTCAATCACAGCTGGATCGAGAGGGTGTTTGGGAAATGTGGCAACGTCGTGTACGTGAGCATCCCACACTACAAGTCTACGGGGGACCCGAAGGGATTCGCCTTCGTGGAATTTGAGACAAAAGAACAGGCAGCAAAAGCTATTGAGGTGGGTCCGGAACCTAAAAAGAACAAAAATGAGCAATAAAATAAAATTATCACGCATTTTAATTAGAAGAAATTTTTGCTGATTTCATTTCAGTTTCTTAACAACCCACCAGAGGAAGCACCAAGGAAACCTGGGATATTTCCTAAAACAGTGAAAAATAAGCCCATTCCTGCCCTGGGAGTCGCTGGTGAGTATTTAAATAAAAATATTGTAAGTGGAAGGAGTTGCAGGAAAGTGAGAACTGATGGGAGCATTGTTACAGAAGAAAAGAAAAAGAAGAAGAAGAAGAAAGTCCGGGTGAAGAAGGAAGACGGTGTCCCGGCCAAAGAGGCGACCGTGGACACAGGCAAGGAGAGCGGCGCCTGCGAGGTGAAGGGGCCCAGGGCCGCGTCGGACGGCTCCGAAGGGGAGGGCGCCGAACCCCAAAAGCCACCCTCAAAGAAGAAGAAAAAGCGGGTTAGAGCTGAAGCGGCCGGTTTGCCTTCGGGGCGAGCAGAGAAGAGGAAGCGAAGCAGCTCCGAGGACGCGGGGTGTCCGGCTCCCAGGTCCAAAGTCAGGAAGACGGCCAAGAAGGACAACCCGGAAAAAGCCTCCCAAGTGTCCAAAGAAAACAAAGGTATTTCTGACTCTACTCACGGTCGGGACTCGACAAATACAGTTGACTTATCACCTGATTTCTGTCTTTTTCTTAAAGATCTGGAAGTCTCCACTGAAGAGGAAAAGGAAGCGGGAGACATAAAAGACGGGTCGCTCCTGAAGGCAAAGAGGAAGCACAAGAAGAAGCACAAGGAGAGGCACAAGATGGGCGAGGAGGTGATCCCCCTGCGCGTGCTGTCCAAGTGAGTGGGCGCCGGCCGGGGGCAGCCAGGCCGTCACCATGGCTATCCTCCCCCTGCGCGTGCTGTCCAAGTGAGTGGGCGCCGGCCGGGGGCAGCCAGGCCGTCACCATGGCTATCCTCCCCCTCCGCGTGCTGTCCAAGTGAGTGGGCACCGGCCGGGGGCAGCGAGGCCGTCACCATGGCTATCCTCCCCCTCCGCGTGCTGTCCAAGTGAGTGGGCGCCGGCCGGGGGCAGCCAGGCCGTCACCATTGCTAAAGTGCAATTCCAGGTCGTGTACAGAGTTGCACATTAGCAACAGTGACGGCCTGCAGCCAGGTCTGCGCGGCAGGATGACGGTTACCAAGCAACAACCACACTAAAACATGGAAGCACTTATTTCCGTCTGTCGAGCAAATGCCTCCATGTTAAAGTGGTGGGTGTTCTTAGAGACGTAAGCGTTCCGCTGAAATGCCCCGACTGCAGGCCGGGCTTGTGCGCTTGGGAACAGGCACAGCAAGACTCACCATCACTGAAACATGGAAGCACTTACTTCTCTGGTTCCAAAGCAAGTACATCCACGTTTAAGTGGTGGGGAGCCTAGTCCTGGGGAGCCTTGCGATCCCGATTGGCTTTAACCTGAAAGTGAGTAGAAAACAGATTTGGGTCCAAAATGCGGAGTGGGTGTGGGGGCACCTCCACTGAAACATGGAAGCACTTACTTTTGCTTTACACAGCAGGTGCCCCCAGGTTAAAGCAGAGGAGCCCCCGCCCTCTGGGAACAGGCGAGTTGCTGTGCGGCAGCCGAGGGACAGCGGACTCACCTCTACTAAAACATGGAAGCACTTACTGCTTAGGTCACAGAGAGCATTTCCATGTTAAAGTGGAGGGGAGCCCACGGGCGCCAGGGTGGGAGCCACGGAGGGAAAGGAGGGAAAAGCAAGCGGCATACCTTTCAGAAGAAAGTTCTTGTTCTTAACGTCCTGTCCTCCTGGGAAGGGTAAAGGGCAAGGACTTGGGGCTCCTGTATTTATAGGATCCTTAGCTCTGAATTCCTTAACTGCCTTTATCTTAGGGAATCATTAAGGGCCTTTTGTTATTCTAATGCCTCAGCTCAGGAAGGTCGGGTCCTGGGTGGGTCGGGATTTTTTTTTTTTTTTTGAAGTATACAGATGTCAGTGTTACAGCTAAACCATCACCAGCAGATCTCCTCCTCCTTAAAACTCTGCTATCTGTGTGTTTGATGGCGTCGATTAGGGCTAACAATGAGGCTCCCAGGAGCCCACAGGGCCATTGTGTTCCTCCCTGGAGGGGCTCAAGCTGTTTGAAGAAGCATCTACATGTTAAATGCATGTAAATAAGTTGCTTCCAGGGGGTGTTTTTTCCCTCTTAGAAATTCCTTTTCATTCTAGTAAACACTAAGGAATGTTATCTCTGAAATTGGGAGCAGTTTAACGAGTAATCTAAGTCATCTTTCAATTTCAGTCTGTCCTTTTCCCCCAGAGATGACTGTCGTAGTAAATGTTAGCAGTTAATTAATTCAAAGCCTTCATTTCCAAAAGTTCAAATCATTGAAGTAGACATAGGAACTGACCTGGCAAATTGAAGCCTGTCCACCTGGGTGCCGGTCTGGGCCCTCCCTTTGCCTGCTCGCGGGGCGATGTGAATCATTGTGAGGGGACGTACCTAGTCATCTGCTATTTCTAAGGTACTTTTCTTTTCTTACAGGAGTGAATGGATGGATTTGAAAAAAGAGTATTTAGCCCTGCAAAAAGCCAGTATGGCTGCTTTAAAAAAAACAATATCCCAAATGAAATTGGAGTCAGAAATGGAAATAGACCACGGAGTAACTGATAAGCCTGGACTGAAAAATGAAAAAAGTAAAATGATCGTTTTTGTAACATTATATTGTATTACACACTAAAATGCCATTTTGGAGTTATAGGCTGAACTTTAATTTTTAGAAACTTAATTATACAGTAATCATTACAGAAATTACTGATTTGGCAAGTTATTCAGATGTGTGGCATTTTTGATATAAGAACATTTGAAGGGCTCATTTAAACAGTATGTTTCCTAATCAGTTATTTAAGTTTTCTCTAGTTCTCATTGTTAGTCAGATTTGGTAATGAGTGCCTACTTTATGAATTAAGTTTGTGTAAACAAAGATTGTACTTTCGCACTTATAAATTTATTTCATAGTATTAACCATAAGCAGAAACAACACCAAACAAGATTCCTATGAAACTTACAATATTAGGATATATGTTAAGTTTCTATAATGAAAATAAGTTTTCACATCTGAATTATTATATAGAGTATTCTTTATTATTCCATGCCTGTTTATCTATCTACTTTTATTAGGTACTTTTTGTTTTCTTGGTTTAGGGAAGATGGGCATTTTGGGGGGAAGATGTTACAAGTGTTCTAAAAGTAACAGTTTGCGTTTACAGTAATTACAGCTTTTGTATTTTATTTCATGGTAATCTCATTTAGCAGTGTGGTTTTTGTCAGGGAGGCCTATTATGAGCCCCAGTGATTTACAATGTGTAACTTTCTTAATTACATAAATTATGTTACAATTAAGTTTTAAATTAAGTAAACTAATTTTTTAAAGTAGCCTAAGAACTAATGATGGTGGTGTAAAGGGGCCGAGGTGTTAAACGACGAAGGGTAATCGTTCTTCCTGGTCTTTTTCTGCTCCAGCAGCAGCGGGCAGTGAGGAGGGCCGTCCCCCGGAGAAGGCGCAGGCGGCGGGGCCGCAGTTCACGGCCGGCGTGATTGTGAAGATCGTCAGCCCCGAGCCCCTGCCCGGCAGGAAGCTCGTCAGGGTGAGCCGCAGCCCCGGCTGCTCGTCCCTCGGTCCTCCTCAGGGCTCCCTGTGGAAATGGGGGCATTTGGAAAACACAGCCAATCAGATTAGGGCCCGTTCCTCTGGGAGAGTCGTTGCAGGGTTTATTCCAGAGCCGCTCTGAAACATGACCAGAGCAGAATCCAAAGCCTGAGTTCTTCGGTCTGTCCGTGGTGCCCTGGCCGGTGCCTGTGGTTGAGGGCGGATGCAGCAGAGCGCCTCCCTGGTGCTCCTGGTCCGGGCCTTTTTGTTTTCAGAGAAATGGGTGTTAGAAGGGTGGTGCCAAAACGCGCTGAAGACTCAGTCAGCAGTGGAGTTGGTCTGAAATTACTTTAAAATCCCAATCATCTGCTGTCAGATTTTGGAACAAACGAAATAATTTGTGATTTGTTTTCATTGGTGCTCTTAGCTTTGAACAGACTCCTAAATTTTCTTTTGCCTAAAGTCAGAACTGTTTGGAATAAAAGAGAGAATATGTATATTTTTTTCTTTGCATGAATTTAGTTTATTTTTGTCTGTTAATGAATTGAAATTGAAAATTTTTTTCCTGAAAGAAATGTAGGGTATTTTGAAGAAAAAAAAAGCCTTTTCTTTTATGTTTAATTTTTTTAATATTTTCAATCCATGCTGTTTGTTTAAAGAAATTGAAACAATTACAGAAAAATGTTAAGTATTTTGAAAAACTACAAGTTTTGCATGCATGGGCAAATATACCCAGAGTTCTACATAATTTTCATTGCAAATACTGTTGACAGTCTCCTTTTTTCACTTTATATGATTTATCTCACAGCCTTTTGTACACCAATGCAGCAATATTTCTTTCTTGTTCATACGTTCTTTTGAGAGGCAGTACCATATAGTATTTACCCTTAGCCTGCCACCCAGTTAGGTGAGACACTGCCTTTTCAAACCACGTAAAGCCTTCTGTAACAGAGCAAATGTATTTGTTTTTATACTGACTTTCAGCATCATGTTAAGTTGTTTTGGTTTTGCATCCTCATACCAGTCACATTTTACCTGCATCACCTTTGAGGTTGCTCACTGTGATCAGGTGTGAATGCTTTCCTGAAAGTCCGCAGCTCTCGCTAACCCCTAGGTGAGGTGCTCCTAGGCTGTGGGTGAGGGTGTGGGCAGGCCCACGTGGACACTCCCAGCTTGCAGAGCATCGTGGCAAAATAGAACTTCACACACAGGGATAAGACCGACCTTGGAAGTGCTGCTGTGCTTGAGTTGGTTGGTTTTTCTATTAAGATTTAATAGAAAAATCATTCGGTTTGTCATTTGGAATGAGTAGCATAAGTTTATGTCGATTACAAATTCTTCATTCATGATCATCGAAATCATAAAGTAACTATGAATCATGTTCGTGGTTACTTGCATTTTGCTGGAACAAAACCGATTGGGAGGAGGTGGCGGCGGTTTGTGCTTGCCGTGGGATTGCCAGGGTAATTGTCATTCCGAGGGCACCCCGACATGGCGATGGCTTTCCGTAAATGTCTTTTAAAAGGGGCTGCTATAAACCAGTCACATAAATCAGTCACGTGGCTGTACTTCCATTGCAGAGTCCAACTTTCTCAACTTGAAACTGTTTCTTGCTTAGTCTCTAAATTAGTACTATTAACTAGATACAGAAATGGGAAGAATTGACAAGTATAGTCTCTTTTTTTATCGAATTAGCAAACATTAAGTGCCTCTTGTCTGATAGGCAGGATGATAGGAATGGGATGAGGTAAGACTTAGTTCCTGTTTCCACAGACTCACAGGTTTTTATATATGTAAGCTTCATTCTTAACTAATAAACTTTTCTCTTAGTCTTTGATGTAGTAGTATTTCCAGGTGTTTCTCAGTTCTGTGTAAATCAGACTTTAAAAATCCAACATCTCAAATGAGGAACAAATGTAATAATCTGAACAATAAAGATTTAACTAAAAAAAAAATCCAACATCTCAAAGTAACCTAAATTACTTGTGGCTTGAATTTTTGGGTCAAAACTGCAGGGGTGAGATTGATAAGGCCCTGTTTTTGGCTGGGAACCCTTAGCTATTTGTTTAGCTTCATGAATGGAGACTGATAAATGAAGACCTGGTGTAACATTCCTGCATAATCGCCTGCGTTTGCTGAGGAGCCTGCTGCGAATGCAGGAATCCTGTTAATCTGCCCTCCCAGCAGGCGAGGTGGGGAAACTTCTCCTGGGTCTGGGTGACAGGCTTGTGCGGCAGAGGTTGTTCAGGTATCTCATCAAAGAGGAAGAGCTTTGAGCTGTATTTTCAAAGACCCGCTCAGGAACCTAGGATTTGTGTAGGTTCACTGAACCTTTCTTTTGCATGAGTTGTTACAAGAAGTTGAATATTTTCATGTATATCTTAAGTCAGAAGTCACAAGTGTACGGGTGAGGGGTAACACTCCTCTCCCCCAATCCATGGAGGCTCTTTCTATTTTGTTTTTAATTCCAGCCCTTATTCTGTGGGCTCCTAGACGGGGCGCCCTCTTGTTGACGGGCGGGCGGGTGTGGTGCTATCTGCTGCACGTCTATGCCCCCCAGACAGGTCTCCCCTCCGGGGGCTGTGAAAGGTGTGGAGTAAAGGAAGTTATGATTAGAGGCGATGTTGGATGGGTTCTCAGGTGTGTCCCTGTGAGGCTTCTAAGAGCATGTGTATGTATTTCAGAGGAAATGCTTAATGTAGGGTGGTTCTCGAAGCTTCAGATGGCATAGCACGCTCTGACTAGCCTCGGGGAACACGTTAGCCGCGGTATGAGAGTCTTTGTTCATACTCCCTCTCCCCTGTGCGCAGGACACGCTGGCCACCATCTCGGAAGTGGTGTACGTGGACCTGCTGGACGGAGACGCCGAGTGCCACGTGCGGTTTAAGTCTCCCGAGGATGCTCAAGCCGCCCTGAGCGCGAGCGCGGACCTGCAGAAGCAGCACTGCTGGAAACTCGAGGTTCTCGCTGGTAAAGCCGCGGACCTTCCCTCTCAGCTGCCTGTAGTGGGGACTGTGATGCTGAGTCTGGCTGATGAGTCCCGTCTCCTCTGTGCTCTCACACGCGCACCGTAGCAGTGAACCTCAGCTCTGCTGAGAGCGTGGAGCCCTGAGCCCTGAGCATGTTTGTCCCGTGTGCCCTTGTACGCAGAGCCCCGTGTTATGTGTTTCCAGGTGACCATGAACAGAGGTACTGGCAGAAGATTCTGGTCGACAGGCAGGCCAAGCTGAACCAGCCCCGCGAGAAGAAAAGAGGCACCGAGAAGGTAGCGGTTGATTTTATTTAGCTTCGCTATTCTTCCCGTGGTTTGGGGGGGCTGGGGGCAGCCTAAGCTTTTCCGAAGGCTGACTCGCCTCTGGAAGTCATGTGCAGGCACACAGTAGCCTTGGTTTTGCAGTAGGTGGTGGGTTTGCGTGGCGTGCACTGAGCTTGAGGTTGAGAGGGAACACTTATTTTCTAGATTTTGAAATACACAAAATTAGAATTATTTTCCTCAGGAGGGTGCATGGTTTTAATTTAGAGTTTTCCCTTCGGCCTTTTTTTTTTTTTTTTAACTTGTGTGCTGACTTAAAGCAGTCCTGCTTTCTGGCTGCTGCGTTTTCAGCTGGGTGGTAAGTGATTATTTAAACGTTCTCTTAAGGTAAAAAACACAGTGTATGTAGAGTGTGGTCTTTAAGGACAGGAGCCTCCAGAGATAAGGCTGAGAGCCTTTAGGACTGTGGTTCCCTAAGCAGTGATAAGCCCTGTTGCTTTTTCTCTGGATAGTCAGTGATATAAACAACTTTCAATACAGTAAGTAATTTAAAGCAAGCTTCTTGTTCAATAATTTTATTTTAAGTTACACTGAGTAATTAAATTATTATTGTTTCTAGTGAGATGTCAAGCTTATTATTTTAAAATAGATTATTATACATGTAAAGGTTGGTGCATCTTAAAGTGCTTAGAACAGAACAGGGCACATAATAACTAAATTACTATTATCGAAATTTTAAAATGTATATTGTAAAAGTCAGAAAAACCTACAAAGATGTACGTTCTTATGTCATTGGTTAGCACTTGAAAAGTCATGCTTTCTGTATTCCAGGATTGACGGCTTGGGTTCGTATTTATAAATTCTTTCCTCCTTCACCTTAAAAACCGGGTGTTTTTCCTCGGCCTCCTTCGCTCGCATCCATTGGGATGTGGGTGGTTGGGGGAGGTGTCCCCGTCTGTGTGAAATCTGCCTCTGCAGGCGGACGCTGCTCCCCGGCCTCCTTCCTTGCTGGGCGCTGGGCGCTGGGAGGTGTTAATTTGAAAGCCTGCGGGAGGCTATTTAAATGTTAAAGTCGCTGATCCAGAACTCGGCCCTGAAATGAAACCACTTTGTTAAATAATGTTTATCTTCCAATTGGTGTGTCGCTTTATTTAAATTGTATGTTTGTAGGACTAGGAATTAGTAATTTTGTTTTTCAGAAAGATCCCATTTTCCTAAGTTTGAGGTGGGGTTGGGGGGGGGGGGGATCGACTCGACTTGGGAGCTTTGTGAATGGAGCCCAGCGAGGGCCAGGGGGGGAGCGCAGGCTCTTTTCCGACCCCCTCACCTGCTGCCCCTTCAGCCCCTTCCAGCCCCCGTCAGGGCAGCCGCCCGTGGGCTCCTGTCCCAAGTGGAACACGGGAGCCACACGAGGTTGCAGTTTGGAGGAGAGGCTGGACCGTAATCAGTTTGCAGCCACCTTTCTGGTGGTCCATTTCGTTAATATTTCCGAGGGCCCGTTCCCGTTGCCACTAATGAGGACGCCGCGAGTGGCCGTGCAGCGGGTGCTGACAGTGCCGTGCGGAGTAGGCCAGGGCCCGGCCGCTTCACACCCGGTGGGCTGGGCCCGGGCATCTGCGGCCTCGGCCAAGGGAGCCGGGTCCCCAGGAGGCCTGGGGGGCGGGGGGAGGCCTCTCGGGCGGGTGCTGAGGGTTCCGAGAAGGTTTGCCAGACGGTGAGACAGGCCTGACTGACAGCCCGTTGTCCGCGGGAGGGAAAAGCGCTGCCGTGAACGCTGGGTCTGCGTTTCCACGTCACGGTGTAGGCAGTGGGGACAGTCTCCTCAGTCCTGGTGGGAAGAGGGAAGGACCTTCACTTTCTGCCCCTGCACCCCTGCGGGCAGCGTCTCATGTGGGGAAGTGAGATGACGCTCCAGGTCGGTGAGGGGCTGGAGGTCTGCCCACAGGGCCGCCGCGTTCCTGCCCGACCAGGGGCCTGTGGGCCATCACCGTGAGAACATGATGCAGATGAGGCCTCTCTCCTTTCCCTTTAGCTCTTAGAGTAGATGGTAATACTTTTCATCTTTATTGTTGAAGTATTTCATTTGTCCCTCTTTTCCCCCATGAACCCCCTCCAGCCCGCCCCCACCCCCCACCCCAGGTCTCCCCACCTAACTGTCGTGCCCGTGGGTTATGGACACACACATGGGAGGTCTGTGGTGGGTTACCTCCCGCCCACTCACCCTCCCTGTTTTAATTTTGTGTTGCTTTTTATCAAAACGGGTTTTTTCCTACACACGACCATGTCGGATGCTCAGCAGGGGAGAGCGTAGTTCATGAGTCGGTGAGGAACGCTGGAGTGACAGTTGTCACCTCTGGCCTCGCCTCGGGAGGAACAGGCTTCCAGGGTGACCCACAGTGACTTCCTGCCAATGGCCTCCTGTCACCACACACTTTAAAGAAACTGTGTTGATGGTCGATTGCTCATTAGAATCTGTGTTTTTATGAGAATAAGATTTTCATTTCTACCAAAGCTAAATATTTTAGATGTTTTAATCAAGAAAGCTTTTGGGCCCTGGCCAGTTTGGCTCAGTGGATAGAGCGTCGGCCTGAGGACTGAAGGGTCCCAGGTTCGATTCCAGTCAAGGGCATGTACCTTGGTTGCGGGCACATCCCCAGTAGCGAGTGTGCAGGAGGCACCTGATCAATGTTTCTCTCTCATCGCCGGTGTTTCTAGCTCTCTATCCCTCTCCCTTCCTATCTGTGGAAGAATCAATAAAATATATTAAAAAAAAAACAAAGAAAGAAAGCTTTTGGGGCCCTGGCCAGTGTGGTTAAGTGGTTAGAGCATCGGACCGCACACCAAAGGGTCAAGGGTTTGATTCCTGGTCCAGGGCGTGCACTGGGTTGCAGGCTCGATCCTTGCCCCAGTCGGGCACATGAGGGGCAGGCAGTTGTGTCTCTCACAGTGATGTGTCTCTCTCCCCCTCTGCCTCCCTCCCTCCCAGCCGCTCTCTACAAAAAGTCAATGGCTGCCCTAGCCGGTGTGGCTCAGTGGATAGAGCATCAGCCTGTGAACTGAAAGGTCCCAGGTTCGATTCTGGTCCAGGGCACATGCCTGGGTTGTGGGCACAATCCCCAGTGTGGAGCATGCAGGAGGCAGCCAGTCAATGATTCTCTCTCATCATGGATGTTTCTATCTCTCCCTCTCCTTTCCTCTCTGAAAGCAACAAAAAATATATTTTAAAAAAAGAAAAGTCAACAGAAAAATCCTCTGGTGAGGGTTAAAAAAGAAAGATTGTGGAATATTTAGTTATTTTAAATGATCTTCATACCACATAATTTCATGCCTTCTTTGAAAATATTGACGTGTTTGTGTTCTGGAGTAATAAGTATTTTCAGTAGTAGACCATACTTGTGACATTTATTTATTTGTTTGTTTATGTATTTATTTATTTATTTCCTCGTCCAAGGATATGTTTTTTTGTTTGTTTGTTTGTTTGTTTTTAAGAGAACGGTGGGGAGAAAGAGAGACAACAATGTGAGAGAGAAACTTCCATTGGTTGCCCAGCCCTGACAGGGGATCAAACTGGCAGCCTCACTGGGAATTGAACCTGCAACCAACTGAGCCTCCCAGCCAGGGCTGTGTTTGAGATTTTAGTTTTCAGATTTGTAAGCAGACCTTTGTGTGGCACTCTGCCTGGAATACGCCGCCTCGTTCCAGTAGCACATGATTCTCAGGCTCAGTGTCCTGACTGACCACAGGGCCTGTAGGAGTGACTTAGCGGTCAGGACTGACCCCGGGGGGCGGGGGGGGCAGCTAACAGGGTGGGTCCTGACCCGCAGGTAACAAACATGGCTGCAGGGAGTGCGGCTCCTTTTAACTGGAAAATGTTCGGTGATCTGGAACTCAAGGGGGGGCGGGGGGGTTGGGTAATTGAAAGATTGAGTACCTCTTACACTATAAACCATACCTGATAGTTCTTTCTGTGACTGATGTGGTCTAAGCCTAATTATCTCACTTGTCTTCTTCTCCCCCTTTTGGAAATATTTTATTCAAGCTGATGATAGTTGTGAAATTTTTCTAGACATATTTATATTTTGTTTGTTTTTAGGTATCCAGTACATTCTAATTTCTGGTTTCTTTCTCCATAGTTAATCGCCAAAGCTGAAAAGATTAGACTCGAAAAGACTCAACAAGCAAGTAAACATATTAGATTTTCTCAATATAATTGAAAAGATTTTCACTCACCTCTTAAGAGTTCACTGGATGCTGGAGCTGTTCTGAAGAAACCCATTTTTATTATGCTAGTAATGCCTGATGAATGTTTTTTTTAAACCCACATTTATCTAAAATAACTTGTAAATAAGATTTTTTTTCTAGAGACAAGTACATTGTATACTAGGATTTTTTCATTAAACATTTTATTTGTTGAAATGCTCGTACATAAATCAACCTCATTGATTTAGTAAATAAATGCTTTGAACATTATCATTAATTTTGTTTGTTTATATCACTAACGTGCCGGAAAAAATCAGTACGACGTTAAGATGCAGTTTAGGGAAATGTGCAGGCGCTCACTGCACTTGCCATTTTGTAGCTTTTCCCGCCTGCATGTCCTGGGTGTCGTGTCAGGCTGGTGTGTGCAGACAGATGTGCGACCTTTCTGTTCTGTGAGCTGTTCTCTGCCCCTCCGCGTTCCCACTGAACAGGCCGCGTGAACTGCTTCCAATTAAAACGTTACATTTTAAAAGTACTGAGTTTGTCTCCATAAATGAAGACAAAAATAAAACGTACAAACGCTATTAATTAACCAGTTACCTGCCCCGCATCCAAAATGGTCGCCGTCCCCACATGCCATGATGTTTTGAATGTAATTGCTTGTGGCGCTCAAAGGGTTGTGAACTCAGGGGAGAACATCGAACCTGCGTGAGGCCTCGCCAAGGGACTCCCAGGCTGGAGCGAGCGCCCCTCCCGGGCCTGTGCCGGCTGCCTCTCCAGCTCCCCGTCTCCCTCCAGGTGCCAGGGCGTGTCCTCAGGCTGCTAACCCTGTCCCTTCGGCTCCGTCCAGCGGTGGCCCTCCACCCGGCTGCCTCCGCACATCTCAGCAGCCTGTGGTCAGAGCTCTGAGGACATGGGCACCTCTTGTTGGGGCGACATGAGCTTTACTACCACAGAGAGGTGTCCTGGCAGCTCACCCACTCGCCTCTCCCTGAAGGAAAGCCAGCAGACTCTGCCGGAGGCAGAGACGACAGTAGTCACTGAGCACGTGTGAAGATGGCGAAACGCCCGCTGACCCAGAATTGTCCTCGTAAGTGAACGTTTCAGGAATTCAGTTGCCCTCAGGGCAGTCTACGGAGACTGGAGAGCTCATCGAGGAAGACTTCAGAACTCCTCTCCCAGCCATTCATGGCGAGACAGGTCTCCGTGGACAAGTCTCTGGGCCCCGGAGACGGGAGCCAGCTCCGGTCCCTCTCCTGGGCTTGTGTCCCCGGGCAGAGGCAGTAAACAGACATGAGTGCAAAGTCCAGTTGTTAGGTCAGCCCCAGGGGCAAGCTAAACAGTGGGGGAGAAACCACACTCGCACTTTCATTTCTTCTTTAATTCATTTAATTGAGGGAGACTTCAGTTCGCCTGCTGCAATCAGACACTGACACGGCACGCGTGAGAAATGCCACGCGTGAGAAATGCCGAGAAAGGTGAGGTTCCCGCCTGGGGGAGCCCGGGCCCCGGGGAGGACAGCAGTCAGCATACAGCGGAGGAGCTGCGGCCAGCCTGCCGGTGAGAGCCGAGCCCCCTGCTCATCCCCCGCCACCTGTGGTCCCCGGTGAGGCCATGCCCTTGTTGATCCAGGACTTCACACAGGAAGTGCTTAATGAATACTTGTTTAATCGCATTAAACAGGATGTGCTTTGGGGGGTCGCGGCAGATGCTGTGATGTAGGTGCACAGAGGCCAGTTCCTTTTCAGCTGCCGAATCTCTCGCATTCTTTTTTTCATATATTTTTATTGGTTTCAGAGAGGAAGGGAGAGGGAGAGAGACAGAAACGTCAGTGATGAGAGAGAGTCACTGATCGGCTGCCTCCGGCACGTCCCCTACAGAGGATCGAGCCTGCAGTTCGGGCGTGTGCCTGACCTGGAATCAAACGCTGACCTCCTGGCTCACAGGTTCAACCACGGAGCCACGCCGGCCGGGCCACACTTTTTTTAAAGTGCCTCCCGTGCCCCCGTATCTGCGCATCTCAGTGGGATGTGCTTCCTTCAATGCAAAACGAGGCTTATGTGAGCCCCTGCAGGGCCTCCGTGTCACTGTCACCAGACAAAACCTATTGGCCAAGGTGGTTGCTGGTTAGCTGTGTCCTCTCAGTGGAGTGGGCGCATCTATAGCCACTTCCCAGTGAAGAAGCTGAAGGTCCTGCCAATGTCGGAGCAGCAGGCTGGTGAGGCTGTAACCGCCGTGTCTCCTGCTCTGGACCCAGCATTCAGTGACGGGACGCCTCCTCTACCTGTCTCCTCCTTCCTCTCCTCCTTTTTTCCTCTCCAGCAGCGTGCACCTTGTAGAGACACGTACGTACCGTCATGTGGGTGACCTCTGCGGCGGCACGTCCTGTCTCAGCACGTCCTGGAGGAGGAGCTGTGGGCAGGGTCACCGTGGACAGGGTCTGGCACCGTGCAGGGCTGTGCAGGCCCTCACCCTCAGCAGCGGAGTCCAGGGTCCACTCTGGCTTATTTGTACTAAACTCATCCATACCGCTGTCTGGTCAGTCTTTTTTTTAAAAAAAAAAATACATTTTTATTGGTTTCAGAGAGGAAGGGAGAGAGAGAGAGATAGATAGAAACATCCATGATGAGAGAGAATCGTGGATCAGCTGCCTCCTGCAAGCCCCACACTGGGGATGGAGCCTGCAAGCCGGGCCTGTGCCCTGACCGGAATAGAACCCGGGACCCTTCAGTCCCCAGGCCAACGCTCTATCCACTGACCCACACCAGCTAGGGCTAGGATGGATATTTTTAATATGCAAGAGAACTTTGCATAATTATTGACTTCTCAATATTTTCTGCCATTCAACCACTTGCCTTTCAATTTGCTTTATATAGTATAGTTATAACTAAATAGATATTTTATGTTTTTATAGAATCATGTTTTGGGGTGTTTTTTTTTAAATATATTTTTATTGATTTCAGAGAGGAAGGAAGAGGGAGAGAGAGAGAGAAACATTCACGATGAGAGAGAGTCATGGATCAGCTGCCTCCTGCAAGTCCCCCACTGGGGATCAAGCCCACAACCCGGGCATGTGCCCTTGACCGGAATTGAACCCGGGACCTTTCAGTTCACAGGCCAACACTCTATCCACTGAGCAAAACTGGCCAGGGCCCAAAAATTATTTTAAAGGTAGAAAGCACCAGCTTAATGAAACCAGCACCGATACAGCATCTATTTAAGGAGAAGAAGGTGTCAGTGAGAGAAGGTGAGAAACCTTTAGGAGAAGTGAGTCCGCGAAAGGGAAGGAGAGGAGGGCGAGGCCTGGTTGGAAGGCTGATGCCCTCGGAGACGCGGGCACCCGTGGTGAAGGGAGCAACGAGCCAGGCCCCTGAGCCTCGTGCCGGTGCAGCGCAGTGCGGGGAGGGGAGGAGGGCTGATCCTCGGGGTGCGCTGTGGGATGGGGGTGGGGGGTGGGGGGTGGGGGGGGTGTAAAGCTTGTCAATGGCCGGTTCGGGCTGGAGCTCTAAGGGAACGTCCTGCGGACTGTGGGACATTAAATAGGAACCACGATCAGACCCCAAAAACAGGGCAGGGGGTTCCCCAAAGCTGCCCTAGGAAGCCTGGAGGAGGATGTCAGTCATGCACTTGTTCCTGTGACGTGTGTACAGTCCTTCAAGTGCAAACACACAGCCAAACCAGCCCGGCTCATCGCTGAGCTGCGTGAAGGTCAGGGTTTAAATCCTCCTTGCCGAACCGGTTTGGCTCGGTGGATAGAGCATCGGCCTGCGGACTGAAGGGTCCCAGGTTCGATTCTGGTCAAGGGCATGTACCTTGGTTGTGGGCACATCCCCAGTAGGGGGCGTGTAGGAGGCAGCTGATCGATCTCTCCCATCGATGTTTCTAACTCTCTATCCCTCTCCCTTCTTCTCTGTAAAAAATCAATAAAATATATATTAAAAAAAAAAAAAAATCCTCGAACAGGATTTAATCCTCACATGTGCACGGAGAACTGGGCTTCAGAGTTTCCGTGAAGATTTCACAAAAGCAACACACGTGGGTACCAGCACCCCCTCAAGCAGCACAGGACTGCCCTGGCAGGTGGCTCCGCTGGCTAGAGGGTCGTCCTGATGACAGAAAAACCGGAGAAGAACCAAGCAACGCTTAGAGAGATGGAGTTACATTGATTATGTATGGGCCCAGAGGAAAATGTCTCTCAAATTCTGGGTGAAATCACACAGGAAGTTTCCTGTTTTTATACTATCTTACGCTCTTTATCTCCCGAATATGGGGTTTTTCCGGTTCCCTTTGCAAGTTCTTGAAGGGCCCTATGTGCTGGCGCTTTGAGACCTCGACCAGAGGCTTGGCCTGATGCCAGCACTGATAACTTCATCTGGAGAAGGTATTAAACCATTAAGGCCTCTCTGAAATGGGAGTAGTCTTATTTTCCTTATTATTTAAGCCAGCCAGCATTTACAGAAGCCAGAAATAGAGGGTTAAAATTTCAAACAACATTTTTTATATAAGATGGATGTTTCATCGATACACCAAGACTGCGGGTTCGATCCCCGGTCAAGACACGTACGAGAATCAACCAAAGAAGCATAAGTAAGTGGAACAACTAACCAGTCTCTCTCTCTCTCTCTCTCTCTCTCTCTCTCTCTCTCTCTCTCTCTCTCTCTCAACAGCAACATTGTAAGTACCAGAAGCTCCCTCACGAGAGAGGACCCGTCACAGCGTAGAATACTTCCCTCACCTGACTTTGTGCTTTAAGAGAAACGGAACCAAACGTTTAGATGTTCCTTCGTGTTATTGCTCTGCTCACTCCGGGACTTGCTTCTAAAAGGAAATTCTGAACTCCTCCGGAAGAGACCAGCCGATTGCACTGCGGTGCCTTTATCCAGGTGGATACTGGGCAGAAGTTAGGATCGGAGAGAGGGTGTCGCGAGCCAGCAATACGGTACGAGCCCTTTGGGTAGACATTAAAGAGAAACCACCTCCTTTTATTTTTATTTTTTTTAGATATATTTTTATTGATTTCAGAGAGGAAGGGAGAGGGAGTGAGATAGAAACATCATTGATGAGAAAGAATCATGGATCAGCCGCCTCCTGCATGATCGAACCTGTGACCCAAGCATGTGCCCTTGACCGGAACCGAACCCGGGACCCTTCAGTCCACAGGCTGACACTCTATCCCCTGAGCAAAACTGGCCAGGGCAGAACCCACCTCCTTTTAAAGCATGTGTCCTGCCCGGCCGGCGTGGCTCAGCGGTTGAGCGTCGATCTGTGAACCAGGAG